AAATTGAAAATTTCCAATAATTAAAAAACATTCCTGTTTTACAAATGACAAGATTCACTGGGAGCATAATCAATAGTATTTGATAATTCCAATGGATGTGGAGTTCATGCACATAACAAGAACGCCCCGTGCAGTGAAAAACAAACAGGCCTTTACCCTCAGTTCTGTCTGAAGGAAAGGGTCCTGAGGGTTTGTTTGTGGAGACATGAGAAGCTGTCATGAAGTCACTACTAGAGCCGTGTTCTTCCCACTTCAAAGTCAAACAGAAGAGACCAGGCTCTCTTTCAGCTAATGCAATACCACCAATAGTGCTTGCTTGTAAGTTTTCCTCTACTACTGTATGTATCTTCAATGGCATGACCAAACCACAGCACGTTGAATGGCCATAGGCAGAGACAGATGACTGCTGTGCATCTGCAAAACAGAAGAGTTGCAAATCAAATCAAATGCTAATTTTCAAATTAAGAAACAAATCTCACGGTGTTATATTTTAAGTGCACTGGAAAGGGTATAAATCAGAATAAGCCTTCTTGCTCCTCTGACTCATTTTAATAGTTCAAGAACTGCAAGGAAGAGTCTTCTTGAATGCTCTGAAGGACCCAGTCCCCACAACACGTTTTGGTGTACAACGATGCCATGAAATTCTCTCTGCTTGATGTCCGTTTAACCCTTCTGAAAAGAGCCTTTATCAAGATTGAAGAAAAGGTGTGGTCACATTTCTTTATCCCTTTTGAAAGGTTTGACTCAGATTGTTACTACTGTAGGTCTTTGTTCTAGGCAGAAAAATATCATTGTATCTTCAACAGTCCATGCACGTACATCTAAAGTCAAAAAGTATATTCTCCTATACCTTGAACGTAACCAGAAATCAAATTTCTGTCAATTGTTAACAAAAAAAGTATATATTGTGAAACGTAGCAGATGATCACAATAGTGAGAATTCACAAAATTTTCATTTTCACTTATTTTACTGACATGTTAACTAATACCCTGCAGCAATGTGAGGCACACTTCTCAGATTTTGTGCTTAAGCTGGTTTGTGAATAGCCCGCTCAAAACTTGGCAAAGACACATCAATCCCTAGTTGAACAGCTCAGTTAAAATATAACAGTGCGTTCAACATTTATATATATATATATTTGTCAATACTATACGCCCACATTCATCCACAGTAATAGATACATTTTGGGCTTATAATTCTTCTGTCACTATAAACACATCCAGACTCTGAGTGGAATAGAAGTTTTAGCATGAGCTTCCAGGCCATTAGATAATGTCTGTTCTTCAATTGCCTGAAAGTTCTGCTAAATTAGATCTGAGAAATTCCCTTATGGCGGTCCAGTTTTCACCTAAAATTGATTTATAGTGGCATTCCTTCAGTTTTAAAACAAATCAGACTCTGCTTTCTTACGTATTGATTGCCACACAGGGCATGGGTGCACATTGCACATGAAACAGCTCTTTGTAACGTTTGCACGATACTTTGTGTTATGGTACATGATATATCATACTTGGTGGAGGTCACATGCTCTCTGTCCCCTCACGGTCAGGGAGCAGAGGGGAGAGCAGGGGGTTGGAGACACGCTTGTGTGAGAGTGTCTCAGCCCTTGAGGGCCACAGCACAGTCGTCTCCTCTCTCCACACCACATTAAACCCTCACACAACCCCAGGGCGCACAAGCCCGAAATCTTAACTTCGGCTCGGCAGAAATAACTTCTCTTTACTTCTTTTTTTCCCAAAACAAAAAGGGAAACTCCAAATCTCACAGAATCGGAACGGATTTCTCACGCTCTCCCTCTCGCCCTTGACTCTTCATTGTGTTGTGATTCTGGGGCAGAAGAAAAGGAGATCAAGTGCAGGCTGGTGGGAAGAGTCCACTGTGCGGTTCGGAGAAAAAGCCGTGTTTGGGGAAGAGTGGTCATACAATCCCAAAATGCACTACTTATCTGACTCTGCCAAGTGAACGTATACAGCTCCCTCCCCCATGACAGAATGTTTCTGATCGTCTGTTTTGGTCCCTGACCCAGATTTAAGGCAGTTTTCCTTTTGATTTGTCTCCCACAGTTGATCTCTTTAACTTGCTCTCCTTGAGATGAGGGGATAGGCTTCCTTCTGCATGAGTGAACCCCAGCCCTGGTCACCTATCGCTTTCCCATAACTGTTTAGACCATAACTGTTTGAGCTGGAGCCTAAACTGGCTGATAATAGGGGCAAAGTAGAGGAGACATATTGTATAAGATGGACAGTTTTTTTGGGGTGCGCCCATTAACATGTCTAGGAAACCGGAGCACCCAGCAACAACCTGAGAGGTCAAGGGGAGAACATGCAAACTCAATGCAGAAGGTGCCCGAGGCTGGAAATGAGCTCAGGATGTACTGCACCACTCTTCCAGCTGCTCCAGATAGCTTCAAATACGGATGCTGTTCTTCTGCTGGTCAGCTGTGGGAATGGTGTATAGGAAGGCAAAAGAGTCTTGATTGCATATCTGCCCGGAACTTTAAACTTATATTGAAACTGTAACCTGTGATAAATTCCAATATTAGCAGCAACATAGCTGTGTATTGCAGAGGGAAGATGAAACAAGCTCCATGTGGAGACGTTTTTCGGTGCCACAGTGACCTCTGCTGTCATCTGGAATTCAGGCAAAGCCATCAGTTTTGTCCTGCTGCTTTTAAACGAAAAGAACAAATCCTTCTCGCATTTACTGTCCATAGCACTTTCATCCCTCAGGATTGTGATACTTTCCACTGCCTTGGGAATCTGGGTTGATCTGAAAACAAGATATAGACACCCAAAACATCAAAGCCATTTAAAAGCGGAGGTATCCAAATCATCTTTTGCAAATGTACAGTACGGACAGCAGATCATTAAATGTTTGCAAGGAAACCAGACTTCAAAATAATTTCAGCGCCACGCCAAATTCATGGATTGATACTTGAGGGACAGGAAAGCAGCCAGAATGAGGGGTATTTGTATGTATCCTATAGATTTTACAAAAGAAGAAAGATCCAAGAACAAGATGTTACTTTAATGACTTAAAGTCTTTTAACAGTTCTTCATCAACAGAAGGGGCGTACAGTATAAGGAGCTGCACCAAAATCCTTATACCTCTGATATTCTGCTGCTGTATTTATTTCTTCAGATGTAAATAAGTTTAAGTTTGAGTCAACAAACAATCTTTAATGTTAATTTCAACTGTGACGCCTAATGAAGATATCACGGCAAGAGCGAGAACGCTGCTGCAGTTTTCACAATAGGTTTGACAATTCAGCTCACTCTGCCACTCTGGAAATCTGTAAAACTTCAGCAATATGACGAAAATCACCTGTAAGAATGCGAATGATTGTGGTCAAAGCACTTCAGCCATTATAGACATTCGACAATATCATTTGCGAGAAAAAGGACTTCAAAACTGGCTTCGGCTTGTTATGTCGTTTGCTCAACTCATTGCACTTTAGAATTGAAATATCATGTTTTCGCACACATTCATTTGCTGATTATGAATTCTTTACATTTTAAAGTGAACGCATATTCCAAAGCTGGAGTATTTGACACAACGCTAGTAGGAATATTGGCTATAATCTCATATAAACAAATATTAGTCAAACTTCCGTTAGGAGTGAAGCTGAACTCACACTACTACAGTCAAAGCTGCAATAAACTAACCCAAACCCATCACCTGTAATAATTCTTGCTTACATTTATTCGGAAAGGTTTGTCTTTTAGTGTGCTTGAAAAGTACATCAACTGTTACAAACAAAATTCAGCTTTTGAAAGAGCGGAACTTTCCCATTTCATACAGAACACAGTGAAATCTTTGCTACTTACAGTAGTTGTTTAGGGACTCATTAGGCTTGAGCGGCGCCTAGTGGGATATCTGTAGAAATGCAGTCAAACAGACATACTTTTTTAAAAGGAACAAGTAATAGGTTTAGTATTTCAGGTGGGGAGCTGCGTCAGCATGCGTAGGCTGCAAAGGAACGAGTAATAGGTTTATTCCATGCTGGAAAAAAAGAAGAAAGAAAACACAACGTTTCGGCCGTGGAGCCTTCTTCAGTAGTGAGGAGAAGAAGACACCTGAAGAAGGCTCCACGGGCGAAACGTTGTGTTTTCTTCCTTTTTTTCCAGCATGGAATAAACCTATTACTTGTTCCTTTGCAGTAATAGGTTTATTCCATGCTGAAAAGAGAAGAAATTGGCAAATGCCGTAGCAGCAGCAAAGGAGATTGAATAAATAAAATTCAAAACTGGGCCATCACCTGGTAGATGACTTCTAATGTAGACCAGTCCAGAGTATTACAAATAGGTGGCAAAACAATATGAGCTATAAATACAATATTGGAAACGCAGCGCTTTAGGGAGAACCTTAGAAAAGATTTACGTGTTTGCGCATCATTTACGTCTTCTGTAGACAGCATGAGATAACAATTCAGGAGGCAAACAAAACGTCTGGATATGTAGCTAAATGCATAACATTCAAACCAAGGGCGTGTTATGTTAAAAGTCTGCAATGCACTAGTTGACTTCATTAGCAATAGCGTGTACAATTCAGGTCACCAGGTTATAAACATATCGGGCTGCTCTGCGCTCAGCCCAGGGAAATCCCTTACTGGGCTTGAGGGGACGTCCGGCCCATTCTGAAGGCACCGAACTTCATTTGCTAAGCTTTGAATACTAAAAAAAAAAGGGACTATAATAGCAGTGTTTAAAATCTTCATGGGGCGTTGACACAGTCCAGAGAGTGGACGTCTCCTGAACCATGAGCCGGAGGGCGCAAGTGGAAACTACCCGCAAGTGCACGAAAGCACTTTTTTTTTTTTTTTACGCCAAGTGGAAGGGGAGAGCTATGGGACCAGCCACCCAGCCATTTTTCGGAAGCCCGCTACCACGGCCTGCCTGAGATCCCTGAAACCACTGGGCCACTGACGACTGCCTCTTTGCAACCTTGTGTTTCTCCAGCGGCGTGTGTGCCTGGCACCCCCCTCCGAGGGGCGCTGGGCCTTTAAACGCAACAGATGGGTCTCCATGGTGACCAGCGCCTGCAGTACCGCAGCAGCCCCAGAAGGGGGCGAGCACCCCCCTCCTCCCTCCTCCTCCCTCCCCGCAAGGAGGGACGAGGTGGTCCAACAAGCAAAGCGGCGCTGCTGAACGCGTCCCGAAACGGGGTAATAAATCAGGCACTCGTTTCCTTCTCCTCCCGAGTTCAGCCGCTTCTCATCATTTGTTTTCTCCCCCCCCCTCCACCCGTCCGCTCGGTGCACCGCTTCCTGGCGATGAAGAGCATGGTGGTGAAGACGCGGCGGCAGGGGTGCAGGGAGCCGAGCGCGTCCGACCGGGAGAGAAGTTCGCAGGCGCCGGCCGCCCCGGCCAGCGGGAAGGCGGCGGGCAGGCGGGCGGGCAGGGAGGGCAAGACGGCTCCTGCGCCCGGCAGCCTGGCGCCGGGCAGGGGCAGACTGCTGCTCTCCGTGCCCGCCCGCATCGGCAGCCGGCTGGGCCTGACCGTGCCCGCTTTCCTCAAGATGGGGAGCGCTCTGGTTTTAGGTAAGGGGGTCGCCCCGGGAGGAGGAGGAGGCGGCACTGGGGGGATGGAAGAAGTCGTTTCGGAGGGGGGAATGAGGTTTGCATTCTCAGCTCGCCCCAAAAAAAAAAAAAAACCTCCTCTCCTTCCGTGCTAGCTGCTTCTTTTTGTAGGTGCACGGCGGCGGAGTTTGTTTTTTTTTGCAGGATTGTCGAAAAGTGTGCATTGTACCGTAGACGAATGCGCCTTTTTTGTTTAGGGAAGAAAACAAATACCTAGGTAGCTAACGCCGTGTGTGTGTGTGGAGGAGAGTAGCTTTGATACTTTGTTAACAGCGGAATAGCCGGCCGTTTCAAGTGAGAAAGCACAGCTCAAAAGGCAAGCTCGGTCTCGAGTGGTCGTGGACACCGTGTCTGAACGAAGGCTGGCTGAGTGTGGATATTGCACGGAGCGCCTGCTCGGGAGACACAGGGTCTCAGTGCTGACAGTGACACGACCCTCATTACCCTCAACCTCTGGACATTTAAATCAGGGAGAGCACCGTGGTTGGTGCTTTTATTTCTTGTTTGACACCCGTCCCAGCGATTATTGCCATTATGATTTCAGCCCTGTATCCATTATACCGCAGCAACAATTTCCTGTTTTTCGGTTCCTTAAACCTGGTGAGGCAGTAGATAGTTCAGAGATACCATATTATTTCCGGCATTCTTGATTTGAGCATTTATCCTAAGCCTTTAAAGGCTTAGATAAAAAAAAGTCATGCAAAATCTGAACGTGTTGACCGTTTGTGACGTTTGCTGTAGTTTTCAATGTGTAGCAGCTTCAGCCAAGAGCAAACACGTCACCAAACCGTGCGCAATCATTACGTTACTAAAGCAATGAAATAGCACATGGTATGCCGTGTAATTTTGCAAAGATGTCTTGATCGTTAACTATCCAATTCATTTGCTTGGCACATCTAGCGCGATAAAACCTTTTATTTATTTTTTTCCTTGCAAGAAAAGGCAGTCGGACAGCGAAGATCACAGTGTACTCGCCCGGATGAGAAAACTACTTCGCTTATTTACATAACCGTCTCTCAGAAGAGCAGCACATGGTGATCAAAACCACAGTTCCTCACAGAGCCCTGACCCTGAATTTAGTCCAGGCAGCGTAGAGGTAGCCTGTAGACGAGTTTTAGGTCCACTTGTCGATAATAATAATAAAAAAATCCATCCAAACCTGCAGAATATGGTGGGGGGAAAATAAGAAAAACAGAAAGTCAGCATGGAGAGATCTAAATGTACAGTATATATTGGTATATACAGGAGGTACAGAGGCATTAAGTTGATAAAGTGCAGCCTCTCCTTGTTCCTTTTTTTACTATGCATCAATAGAACATATATATATTAAACGACTTTTTTCTTATCCTTTTTCAGGTGTGGAATTCGTTAAGTCGATTCATGTCGGGCATCATTGTAGCTTTGCAGAAACCCATAGCCTTTCTTCCCCGTGACGAATTGACAAGGCACACACATCTGTGACGGCTGAACGGCTGCGGAAAGATTTTTTAAAATGTTGCGTTGCTTCGGTGGCTCATAGATGGATAATACTTTATTAATCCCGTAGGGAAATTGATGTGTTACAGCAGTCCAGCCCAAGACAAGCAAAACAGACATCAGAATAGTTATAAAACAAAAGACAAGCAAGATAAATAAACATAAATACATAGGTGTGTGAATAAAAATAAGTAAGTACATAGGTGTGTGGTAATCATGGGCTCATGAGAACCCTCCTTGATTTTTTTTACCTCATGTGGCTTTATCATTTCTGATTTTTATCTCATTATTTTTTTTTTGCTTGCATTAAAAATGGTGCATCACAGTGTCGCAGTGCTTAGCATTGCTGCCTGGCTCCCAGGTTGCTTCTCTGTGCGAATATCTGAAGATATAGAATATCTGAAATAAAAATGTACTGAATCTTTTATCAGACGCCTTTTTTTCTTTTTCTTGTAGCTGCTGTGGCTGGCATTCTGCACTGGTAAGTACTTCACTGTCATGTTTGTTATGTACCCGTTAAGCATTGCAAACTGGATAACATTAATTCAAGGACTTTAGTGTTTTTGCACATATTTTGCATTCTGCTACATTTTTCTGGACTTGCATCTTAACAAATTATCTTGCTGGAGGTTTATTTTAACTTGTCCATCACGAGTATATTTTATATCAACCTGCATCAGTTGCAAGTGGCATTTGGGGTGATTTCATTTGACCCAGGCGAAATACAATGATTAATAATTGCAATGCAAAATCGTAAGTTCGCGGCTTTTTGTAATAACCCTGTACTCTGCAACTGTGAATGTGTTCTCGCAGCTTTTGACCGTATTCTATAAGCTCTGTGAGTCTCATTGTCTCTTAATTTTCTGGGCAGGTACCATATTTCAAATCTCTTTGAAAATGACAGACATTTTTCACATCTTTCCACCTTGGAAAAGGAAATGGCATTTCGTACAGAAATGGTAAGAAAATAACATTTGAATTCATTTACGTTTCCCACTATTAGCATTGTTTATTACACTCTTACCATTGTCCGGCCTGTTTCGGTGTTGTTCTATGCTGATGAAGCATTAATGAAACTAAACGGAAGTGAAGCTGAAACTAGAACAGGAAGTTCTTGTTTGAAACCAAGCCAGCTGGATGAGGCGACTGACCTCTCATTTATAGACAGTTCTTATCTGGAGAGAGGAGTCACTTATTCCACAGTTGTTAGGTCTTGTAGCGTATACTGTGCAGTACAGTGCAAACCCCCGGCTTAAACTTCAATTTAAGAGACTTTGGCTTTAATGGGCAAAATGTTGCTAAAGCAGATTATTTTCTGTAAAAATAAGAAATAACCGTATTTTCCCTGCAATAACGGACAAAATGTAGTGCAGTGGGTAGAGGGGTAGGCAGATTGCTCGTTGTGGATGTTTTGTATGCTGCGGCGAATTTTTCGTCAAAACAATCGCTCTTAAAACACACTGGGATCCTAACAAACTGCAAACACAGCTAAATGTCTTAAACCACACAAATAATAAAACAAGGTCCAATTAAATACAACGTAGGTTGAAAATGGCCCTGCGGGGGGCAGATTCGCCTCGGTGAATTTTAGACGGTGTCTTTATGCCAAGGTGGCACAGGGGGACAGTAGTTAGCATTGTACGGAGGCCCTGGCTTCAGTTCGGGATCCTGGTGCTGTCTGCGCGGAGTTGGAACGGCACGTTCTCCCTGTGTTTACGCCGTAGTCCACATACACACTGGTAGGTGAATTGGCTTCTGGGAAACGTGTGTGGGTTTGTGTCTGTGTGCGCCCTGCGTTGGACTGGCGTCCCATCCAGTGTTACACAGCCTTGTGCCCGCTGGTTGCCGGGAAGAGGCTGCAACTCCTTCACAGCCCTGAATTGGAAAGAGCAGTTATAAGATTAATGGATGCGTATTCACGTCACGTGAAATAAAGAGCGGGTACTGTATATGGAGAATAAACAGTGACACAGGAGCTATGTTAATTGTAGTTGTTAAACAATATATTAAATATATGTACTATACGTATAAATATACATACTATAAATCTATGTCCTTTCTGGATATATGTTTTCTCATATAACAGTGTGTTTTGGGGTGAAAAACGTATTTCATGATTTAACAGTCATTCGGCAATAACACACCCCCTAGTCTGTTAAACTGAGTGTCTGCTGTAATATATCAGATTTACATTTTTCTGAACAGAGTCACTTTTTTGTGAGAATGGGGATTTACGTTTCCTCAGTAATATGTAAATGGTGAAGTTTGAATAAAGGCATCAGCAAAGAGTAGGTTATGTAGTCAGATTTGTGTAGTTTTGGTTTCTTTGTACCTCACACAAAGTAGGATGTAGCAAGTTGCTTCTTTTTGTTAATGTCATACTTAAGAGTCCAGTACAAGAAGAAACATAATAAATAAAGTCTGCACCCTGACCTGCACAATGATCCAATTATTCATATTCTTTTCCTGCCACACATCAAAAGAAGTCTCATTTTCATCTTTGAAATATCTCACTTTTTTCATTACAGGGGCTTTATTATTCATATTTTAAGATTATTATTGAGGCACCTTCATTCCTCAGTGGTCTGTATATGATAATGAACGACAGGCTCACAGAGTTCCCTCTTGTTATAAACACACTGAAGAGGTTCAACCTGTTCCCTGAGGTGAGTCGGTCACTCGCAAGGTTTTTGTTAAAGCGTAGTCTTTGTTTAAGAACATATATTGCCTGGTTGCTCCCTTAAACTGTTTTAGATATTGGTGATTAGATCATCTCTTGAACTGATGCTTTGTTTTTAGATCTATATTCTGGACTCCATCTGTTGGAAGGCACTTGCTGTTTAGACATGACATCAAAAGGAATGCTGTTAATTTACTGAGTCATTAAATGATCTCTGTTTCAACTGAGGGGAAATATGTAACTCCGAACCTTGGCCAGAATGTATGAAGACAGCATTCAGTGTTGAACTGAGTAGTCTGGTATCTATTTAAGAAGTGAGGAAGATGGATCCATTTGCCTGTCTGTGCTTGGCTCTTCCCAGAAAAGCCAGCGGTGGTCTATAACAATCGAACAGACGCGGTGTAAGCAGTGAACATGCTGAAAGAACAGCATTGGAAGACTTGTCACTAAAAGACAGTCCGGGCAATACAATACTGTATAGTACAGTAATATAAATTGGATTCATGTGGCTCATTATTTTCAGTGTTTTACATAAGCTGTACTAACTTGATGTATAATTAAGAGGGGAGGCATTGTTTCATTGAGTTGTCAAAGAAACGTTTCTTCTGTTGAGGGAAGGTTCAGAGCCCTGCAGTTCCTTGACTGTAAAGCAACCACCCAGTGCAAGCATCTTGATTAGGAGCACAACCAGAAGCTCTTTGGTCTTCAATATGAGCTTATACTTTCACTGTTTACTGAAGTGTGTAAAAAAGAGAACAAAAGGTTTCTTTTGCAGTCCTACAGATTGTTATAACAAGCTTATGTGTCTTTTACTGAAACAGTTCATTTATTTTATAACTCGGGAATTATACTTGGTAGACGTCCTGTGTGTGTACTTAAGTACTTTATTCACACTTTAATGGGACTTTGTGTGTGTGTTCTTTTTTTTCTTGCAGGTGGTCTTGGCCAGCTGGTACAGGATTTACACAGGCACAATGGATTTCTTTGGTTTTCCAACTAAAATCTGTTGGACAGTCAACAGAGGAGAGGGACTGAATCCTGTAGAGAGCTGTGAAGGTAAATACATGGCTTTTTTTTTTTTAATTTTAGAGCTAAATCGCATTTCTTTAAATATACTAGAAGGGTAATAATGAGTGCTGCTTTTATCAAAATGAGCTTTATTTGTTTGGAAATAATGTATAAATTCTTAATAAATCTATAGAGGAAAATGCTCAATATTAAATCAGCTTCATTTAAATCATAATGAAGCTGATTAGATGTGGCTTTTAAATTTGGATATGAAATAGTTAAATTTTTTATCTTGTTTAACTGTTTTTGTGTGCAAACATCTACAAATTTTATTTTGAGGATAAGACTTTTTGAGAAACATTTTGTGAGCAGTTCATGCAGTAATTGCATGAACATTGATGTTCAATTTCTTGTTTTAGGTATGTAACAGTTGCCCAGTACTAGCTTTTCCAATGTTCAATAACTGTTTTGAATGTTTGTTTTAGATGAAAAAGTATACCATAATGCCGGTCATTTCTTCTGAAAGTTTTTGTTCATTTTTGCTCGCACAAAGACACGTGAAAGAATGTATAACATTAGCAGAGCTGTGCTGTACGTGCAAGGCTATGGTAAAGAAAAATATGTAAAAAAAAGTGGTTGCCGAGTCAATGATCTAATGATGTGAAGCAATACTTAATTGCACCATGTTTCTGTTCTTGTAAGACCATCAGAATAATAGTATTCCAATACTTCAAAACTTGAAAATAAAAAATAATAAAACATAGGTCTGTGAATTGTCAGTGTTATAAAGTTGATTGCCCTGTGGATTAATTGCGTCTGAAAGTGAAATTTTTCCATTTTTCAAAAACTGATGATAAAAATGAGTTTTCTGATATTCAGAAATGATATAACTATCAGAAGTAGGATCTGTGACAAAGCGGCAAGTTTGTCAGCACTCTACACCATGTGAATTATGTCTAAAATTAATGGTATTATTTTAGGGAAGGGGGCTTAGCGTGAAATTTCACTAAAACGTCACTTCTCTGTTTATGTTCCTTTTGACTTATAGGTTTGGGAGATCCGGCTTATTTCTATGTTACATTTGTGTTTGTACTAAATGGAGTGATGATGAGTTTATTTTTCATCTACGGCACATATCTGAGGTAGGGACATTTTCCCAGTTAAAACAATTTATTTGAAATGTCTTTTTAGAAGCTAAGTGAGATCTGCTTTAAGATATCTATAAAGCAAGGAGAGAGAGGTTTTATGTTAAAGGTAGTTTTGAAAATTATTCCAAATGACCTTTTTACAAAGTTTATTCAGATGAGAGTTGAAAATATAAAGTGTCATTTTTAATGCTGTTTTCTTATTGTTGTTGTTTTTTTTTTGCTCAGGTTTGGCTGAGTTGTTTTTCTTCTTTGTAATGTATGTTCTTAACCAGATAGCTGTTCATCTTTCCTTTTTTTTTCCCCTTCAGTGGAAGCAGACTCGGTGGTGTCGTTACAGTCCTGTGTTTCTTTTTTAACCACGGAGAGGTACGTTTAACCAGAAGATAGGGGGGTCTCTGATCAGTTGAAGCTAAACACCCCCATTGTTGGTCCTCATTAATCTTCTTCACTAAGAACAGAGTGGAAATTTTGCTCAAGAACCGTTTTCATTACAGACTTTCCAGAGTTATCCCAAGTAGAGTGTGCTTATTTGTGGGGGTCATTTGCTAATTATTCTTTATCTAAACGTCTTCTTACTGACTTCTACGACTACAAAGATCAAATACTGTACATAAAAACGTACAGTCTAAATTAGATTGCTTTTGACAAACAAATCCTAAATGGTGCACTACGTAGTAAAAGGAGTGTTACATTATAACCGGCAGAGAACTAAGAATAATTGTAAAACAGCCAAAAGCGGAAGCATTGATGATTTCCGAACCATCTTGGTACAGTAGGTCTTAAAATGATCTACCAAAAGTTTTTTTCTCCGGTTCTCTGGTCTAGTGAAGCTGCATGATGGGACCGTTTGAGCTCAACCCCTCGCTCGGCGCTGTCGTGTTTTCGGATACAGACTGTGCTCACACCTTCCACTGTGTGTCCCCCCCCCCTCAGAGCACCCGGGTCATGTGGACGCCCCCCCTGCGTGAGAGCTTCTCCTACCCCTTCCTGGTTCTCCAGATGCTGCTGCTGACACACATTCTCAGGTGCGTCTCACTGTCCCGAACCCGCTGGGGTTCACGCCCTCCTCCGAGCTTGTTGTATTTCAGCAGGACGTCTCCCACAGTGTGCTTTCTTCTTTCTCTTCTTTTACGGACTGGTGCTGGCCCCGTCATAGATCATAGCCTGTGTTTGCTCCTGGTTACGTTACAGTCGGCTCACGATTCAAATGGTCCGCATACATCCGAGTCATTAGGGCAGCAGTTTAGCTACATTCTTCGGGGCGGTTTTTCAACTTGGGTTTTTCAGGCCTTGATTTTTTTTTTTTTCCCCTTCTCACCCTCTTTAGGACTCCTAAACCAGGAAAAAAATCTTTTGTCGCACTTGGTGTTTCGAATGTCTTATTCATGCTCCCCTGGCAGTTTGCTCAGTTTGTCCTGCTGACTCAGGTAAGAACTCGAGAGGGCTGTGTGAAGAGGGCTTGCACTTCTAGCCTGTCTTTTAAGGTGGACAGTGTTCTAGGAAGTTTTGGAAGAGTAAAATAAAGCTGTGGTGATGGGTAATGTAGATGCAGTATGTTGTTTTCAAAATGTCGATGCAAAAATATGAAAATTGTTCTATGCAAAACCTGTTTACAACACGCAGGTCTGTTAAAAACTAACTTGCAAAAGTACTTCACATCTGAAGACAGTACAATTGAGTCTTAAAATAGCATGTTAAATCGCACTTCATATTCAAGGTTTGATGGGTGAAATTATGTGTTTAAAGTAATTCTGTTAGATTACGTTTATGTCCTGTTGTCATTTCAGATTGCTTCTTTATTTGCGTCCTACATCATGGGCTATCTGGTCTCTTCAAAGCTGCAGTCTCTCTTGCTTACCCACATGGTATTATGTTCCTCCTCCTACTCACATTTATAACAGTGCTGTGTCTAATTTAGCTGCTTATTTTATTGCAGTTGTTTAAAATATTTAAGAAGAAATCCAACCTGAGCATTCTTAGGTAGTTAAAGTATGCCTGCACATTACAGGTTCATTCTGTCAGATTTTTAGCTGGTAGTTTTCTTTTTTGTCCTCAGTCAGGATTTTAGGAACCCAAGACTATACGGATAGAGAGAGTGTCTTGAGTGAAAAATCTAGGCCTTTCTGCATCTGGGCTGGATATTCATCTGTGTGGGCATAAGGCTAAGTGCTAAGGGCTGATTTGCTGAGGAAATAGGAAGGGATGTGGGAAATTTGAAT